CCTGAACCCGGTTCTCCGGGCAGTGATCGAGCTCAACCCCGATGCGCTAACCCGAGCAGGCGAAGCCGACCAAGAGAGGCTGGAGACGGGTGGGCGCGGAGGGCTCCTCCACGGGATTCCCCGTTCTGGTGAAGGACAACATCGCGACGAGGGGCGAGACGAACACGACAGCGGGGTCCCTGGCGCTGGTGGGGTCCACGGCGGGGAGGGACGCCGGGGTGGTGGAGAGGTTGCGGAGGGCGGGGGCGGTGGTTCTGGGAAGGCGATGAAACTTCAGAGTACTAAAGTCCAGCTAAGCCGAGTTTAAATGCAAGAGTAGTGTTATTCTACTTCAACACTAAATAATTAGGAATGTGAAGTGAGCATCTCCAACAGCTTTCCTATTTTATTGGTATTCTCACTTTTGGAGGGGTTTTTTTTTTTGTTCTACTGATTCTCCATCCCATTCTCCAAAATAAGGATGGAGGAGAAAAAAAAGGGGAGCCTTCCCCAAACCTGCAGCATTCTTCAAATTTTTGAGGAGAGTTTTGTCATAAATATTTTACGTTCTTCAAGTCTCCAACTACTCAAAAAACGACTCAACACTATAAAATGAGGGAGCAAAAAACAAAAAGTTCATGTCTAAATCTTTATTGTTAAAGTTCATGTCAAATATATAGAATATTTTTATTATTGTAATAAATGCAGGATTATTCAAAATAGGAAAGTTGTTGGAGTTGGAGCAAAAATAATTTGAAGAATATGAACTTTTGTTTCCCTATTTTGGAGAAATTTTTGGAAAAACTGTTGGAGATGCTCTATGATAGCATTCATGCTTCGAGGTGGTCTTGACTAATTAATCTATTGATGAAACAGGTAATTAATTAGAATTTCAGCCACATATTTTTCAGCTCAAATGTCTCTATCAATCACTAATCTACTCTGCATTAGGGGGAAAGAAAACGATGATTATATCATCCCTAAGAAAGTGATAAGATTTTTTTTTTCTCCTCAAACTTTTGACAAATATTCATGCTTTGCTGTTCTCCTACTATTCGCTGTATTATTGTAATTTGTATGCGTTCCAAAGTGAATTCCGATATAGCGAGTCTCTTCGCTGTATTATTTACGTACATTTGCATAATGATTATTACAACATATAACTAATTTGAATGGTAAAACTAGAACGGAATTGAGAATCCAAAAGGTCCGTCTGCAACGATATAAATACAGTGGGTCTACCCACAATTAAACACTTTTTTTTTCCAATATTTTCAGAATTCTTTACTTCATCAAATAAACTCCAGCAGAAGCCCAAATCAAATGCTTGATAACGAAGTTAATCCACATGTCATCCAAAGATAAACACATCACAATTTTAGAACCGGTCCTCAGTTAATATTTTTCTAGAATCCGAATCCTTTCCAATTATGTGGTAATTGGAGAGGGTCCAGTTCTCTTAATTCTAACTATTTATATTGCTTCCAACGGATAACATCACATCATATTAGATTTCCATTATTATCTTAAATATCAAAAAAACTTTAAAACCTCTGTAGTCAAGACCCCTAACTTGTAATAGTGAAAATCGTAGGCGGAATAATCTCATTTATTAAACTTGATATAGACAATACGGATCAAAAGAATTAAACCCTCTCCAATTACCATCTAATTAGAGAGGATATGAATCCTGTTTACTGAAACATGTAGCCTGAGCGTACCACTTGCTTGCCCAAAATACCACCACTACCCTTGTGTTCATAGTACCCATTCAACTTGGACATAAGCAAAATCTTCCATATTGTTTAATAATTAATTAAGCCAACCACAGAAACTTAACAACAATAGGTAACAAATTGAGAAGAATCTAAAAAGTAACTAATGACAAAAACAAACAAAATTTACCCTTCCAGACTGATAATTAATGTATAAGAATAAAAAATTAAATAATCCACCACATTTGCAGCACAGGACATGTTCCCAATAATTCTGACAGAATTCAAAACTAAGCCTTGGACAACCCAAAATGTGAAGGGGAAAAAACATGGAAAAAAAAAGGGAAGTATAACTCAATTTCCGTTACAACTAACCCACTACCAAAACCAACTCAACAAGTAAAGACCACAAAAAAAATCGTTCTGAAACTGATACGAGAACAAAACTGATATTTGAATAAATAGAATCCTCCATCACTTGCTTCACTTGAAGCTCATCTTCCTCCTCTCCTCTTTTTTTTTTTTTTTTTTTTTTTTTTTTTTTAAAAATTTCCCCTTTTTTTTTTTTTTTTTTTTTTGATGTCATAAAACTCTCAGTTCTCTTGCAATTGCTCCTCCACTGCATCTACACTGTAATGCAAATCATAGGAGACAAGTTCAGTTAAAATACATATCCGGAAAGCTTCTCCGACAAAAGATGTTTTAAGCTATAGTTAAGTGATGAGGGAAACAAATTAACTCCTACTAAGTTCTAGTCGGGTAAAGATCCCCATCAATAGCCATTAACTTGGAGAAGCAAGCTTACTGTCATTTGAAGAGATTTCAACAATAATATTGACGCATGGATAATGATATGCTGCAATGAGAACATTCCAATGATAGTAGTGTCAAGTGAGAGACCGATTGCATGTATGCATGATATAGAGACCAATTGTATAGATGCATAGTATAACAACTTGCACCGTATCACACTATAAATACTGTTTGGCTGCATGTACGTACTAGATTCCAATAGCAAATGAAAGTAATTTAGCGATCTAGCAAATTTCAAATATTTTATCAGCCAGCACCTCACAACTATTGGAGAAATGTTATATACAAAAAGGTGTGGTAAATCTACTATTTTAGACTACCTTAACAGGATACCACTTAATGGATTAAATCTTGAGTACTACAATATCTGAAAGTAAAGAATTATTAACTAATACAAACTCAAACCCTAGTTTTTGTGGATATGTCAAGAATTATATTCCTGATAAGAACACATGCACACTGATGCTTCCCAAACCCGAGAATTTATGCCTATACCAAGTAACAAAGATCCAATACTCATGTGCAACTTGGCTTGCGAGCCAAAACACAAGAAGCGAAGGCAAGTGACAGGCTAACCAGGTACATTTCAAAAGAGCTGAAGAAAAGGTCATCCAAAATCCATTTTTGAACAGAGTTTAGAAAATGACCATTTGACAGCTTCCCAACTGCAAATTGGTTCAGTTTGTTCCTACACCTAACACAGACTCCACCCAAATTACACCTGAACCATAATCGAAATCTAGATCCATGGTTCGTGTATGGATTAAAATAATCTGGCGTCTGAAATCCAAGTGGGCAAAGTCCAAGTCTAGCGAATTTGTATTTGAACTGGCTAAACATAGCATACAAGACTAGCAAGATCTGATAGAAATTTGTTAAAAAAAAGTGAAAAACTAAACACAAACGTATCTCAATTAGATCAGATCTGGACTTAAATAATAGAAGCAATTCAAATTAGGCTCCTACCCTTCTAGCTTTACTATTGTATTCATATGTCTGCCGCACAAGGTATCAAGTATGATAATTATGCAGCACAAACTACTACTCACCCCAGGAGGAGGATGTCATAATTGGAGTAACAACAGCAAAGAAGTTGTTTCATATAAAGGAAGAAAGGACGTCTACTGTTTTAAGAGAATGCAAAGTTTAAAGGTAACCGTAAGAAAATCCATCCCAGGACACCTATATATCAGATCACAACTAGACCCCAGCCAATACACTTAAACTCTAAAATAAATAAAATAAATGCAAACATGAAGAAAATAAACATATTTAATTATTTCTGAACAAGTTGAAGTCTACAATTTTCCGCGGCTTCTTGATCTAAAAGCCAAGCCATTTCAGCTGTATACCAGTCTGATTAAATTACTGCAACATCCATGAAGTTTCAGTTATCACTACAGAAACACAATTGGCACAACACATGACACTTGGAAAACTTCGAATTTTACTTTGTAATGGTGCAAGATATTTTTTCCCCCTTTCTTTTGGGGTTTGCTAGTGTATTTTGAGTGACAAAAGTATCTATATCTTGTTGCTTCATCAGCCAGCTAGTGATCAACAGACAGGGTCCTCCCTTTAAAATGTTAGAGTGTAATCATTAAAGCACTGTGTGTTCTACTTTTATTGAAGGTCATGAAAGGTAATATCCCTACATTTTTCCCTTGTAGACCAAGGAAGACAACAATCAACTGGCGGGTATCATCACTGATCTGTCACACAAAGGAGAATGTTGATATGGCCCCTGAGACACTACACTAGCTAGGTGTGACTATAGGATCCAACTCTCAATTTGCATATGATGGACCCATGAAGATCCACTGGATCCATCCAGTTTCAAAATTAGCTGGATGTCTCCTAGCACATATATTTAGTCTTGAACTCTCATCTTCATGTTATCAAGCACAAACCTGTCTTAATACCATGACAAAAGGGGTGTGCCATGTGAGTGCCAGCTTTAATTAATTGGTAATTAGCTAGGAAGCATGAGCACATCACACATGACTCAATGAGATACAGACCAGGAATTCATGTTTAAGAGGTGCCTCACATGACAAGCTTCATGATAGAAATGCCACTGCTACATCAATAATCAGAAAACCAACTATAAAATTTGCATCGAGTGATCGAGGTTATAGTGGTCCTAGATGGTAATTAGCTATCTGAGGTTTGAAGCTTGTGTCAAATTATAGTTCTCCTAAGAGGGTGTTAGCTAAGAATAACAGAAAATAATGTAGCATGTCTAATAAATATCCCGCATGATACAACTTTCACAGTAGATATGTCTGTGCTACATAGAAAATTCAAAAATCCACTTCAAACTCCGAAGCTTGTATTGCAGCATCTAGAGTCTTTGCTGGTAGGTAGCCAAGAAGCATGAAGATGTTGATACAACTAAAACACACATACATAGAACAAGTTTAGCAAAATGCATAGAAAACATAAGTATCATGCCCAAAAAGCATCCTACTAGACACAGCTTCACAGTTTACGGTCTCAATGATACATAAGGTGTCAGAAAATTCACTGAAGACTGAAGTTTGCTTTAAAACCTATCGTCTCCTCAAATTCTAGAACTATTTGCATTTTAAGGAAGTTATTCTTCCATCTTTCAAAGGGTCAATCCTATAAGTTCCTATTCATCCATTTATACTTGATCAACATAGAAAAAATTCTGGTAAGTTTCATTGATATTTCCAATATTCACCCTAGTCATCAGCAGACTTTTAACCATAAGTAAGTAGTGAGCCTGGCTTTTACCAAGGATAGCTGCTACCAGCATATTAAGTAACACGTCAGTAGAAATACAAGTCTAAACAAAACTATAACACGCTAAACATATAATGTATTACATAAATAGTGGAAATAGCAGCAGCTAGTAAGCAAAACAAAGCTCTTAACATGGAATTGAATGATTGTTTACGTGTAATTTACTTCAAAACTAAGAAATCTAACCCAACATTAACAGACATATGTACAAAAGATGATAAAATAATAGAATGAAGGCAACTTTAAGCACAAAAGAAGAAAAAACACTCCCCATATTTGAAATATCAGGAACATCACCCAAAAACCATAATTTCACATGATCTTATAACATATGAGCAAGCAAACAAGAAGTCAAAGAATTCAAGTTCTCTTCTTGTAACTCAATCGCCAATCCAACTAAAACTACAAAGCAAAAGCAGCATCCTATCATTTTGCAAAATAGACCCCAAAGAATTATAAATGAAAGAATCAAAACTCAAACCTTGGTGCTGGTGAAGTAGCATCACACGCTTCCGGCTTCCTCCAAGTCCTCTCGGTCCTCTCCTCCTTCAACCCATTACCCACCCCAACCTCCTTTCTCCAAGCATTACCCTTCGGTTCCCTAATCTTCACAGCCTCAAGCTTCTCATCAATCTCCTTCCAATCCTTCCCCTTCTCCTTTAAAACCTCCTCCCTCGGCCTCGCCGCTCCAAAAGGATTCGACCCTTTACTCTTCACCTCCACCTCCTTCTCCTCCTCCCCATTAACCCCATTAACGACCGGCAGTGTCCTTGGCTGAAGCACGAGCCTCGGCCTCGAACTTCCTCCATTCTCCTCCCTCTTCTTTCCCCAGCTATCAGAATCAACTCCGTTCCCATTACTTCTCTCCTTACGGAAATCAAAACCCCTCCTTTCTCCCCTTGCTTCGTTCGCCGGAGGCAAAGTCCCCTTCTTTGATGTCCAGCTGTCCGATTCATCAGCCCTCGACTGCGAATCGAAGAACCCTCGATCCCTCTCCCTCCTCTCAAACCCCACCGGAGCTTTCTTCGTCGATCCCCAATCATCTACCTCATCAGCCCGGGACGGCCCCAAATCCCTAGGCTCCCTCGGAGGTCCTCGCCTAGGGTTCTCATCCCCCGAAACCCTAGACGGCCCCCCACGGTACCCGAACCCTCGAGATCGCTGCAATTCCTCCTCGGATCTCTCTCTGGGCCCAGTCGGCAGCGCGAGGAGCTCATCGGGGGTTAGGGTTAGGGCTCTGGACGGAGGCTGGAACTTGCCGGCGCCCGGATTGACGGCAGTGCCACTGGTGTACTCGGCTAGGGTTAGGGTTTGCTTCTTCTTCTTCTTCGGGATCTTGGTGACGGCGGCGGCGGAGAGGGAGGGGAAGTCGGCGGAATCCGACGAGGAGTACCCTTGCTAGCGGCTGACGTCGCGGCAGGCCTGAGTGGCCGGGCGGACGGCTGCTTCCGTGCTCCTCGGACTCGATGGCCCAGGCTCCAGTTTGGCCAAGCCATCGATGCTCCGGGTTCGATCTCTTGCTGCGATTTTTCACCGGACCGCGAGATTTCGGTTTGATTACCGCTTGATTTTCCTCTGTTTGGGATATTGTCTTTTTATAGCGGGTTGGGTTGGGTTCGCAGGGGATCCGACTACTAATAGGGTAACGAATCCTAATCCCAGTTGGTAACGAATCCTAATCCCAAGTGATAATTATAATTTTGGAAAATGATAGGGGCACACCCTCAACCACAACTCTAACCACACCCCATCTCTCATTTACTACAGTACACCGGGCCCCACATGAGATTTTAAAATTTTAAAATCCCATGTGTTTAAAATTTTAAAATCTCATGTGGGCCCGGTGCACTGTAACAAATAAGAGATGTGGTGTGGTTAGGAGTGTACCTCTAGTGCCACCCTATAATTTTTCATGCTTGAATCTAAGACACGTCATTGCCTAACTTTTTATTCACATGAACTATTTTAATTTAATGTGATAGAAAATGCTTGCGTTCCTCGTGATGGTAAAAGGTAATATGGAAGTGATGAGGAAATTTCAACATTTGACTAGTCTAGTTTGCAAACCTCCTAGTATTCTTTTTACTGTTAAAAATATTAATTTGTAATTCAAACAACAAAAGTTGCATGCGGAAAAAAAATAGAGAAAATATAATTGTGTTCAAATTGATGAGTATACTCATAGCGAGAGATGAATTACATCATATTTTAATCCTATTTAATAAATTGTCACGAGACTTAACTCATGGGATCCGTTAAGATGTTTGGGTGGATCTACTTTCTATTTCTATATATTCTTTTGAGGAAAAATTGCTTCAAGGACCCAAATTTCAAGTTCCATTGTGCCCCAACCCCTCCAACTTTCACCAATGTGCTGCAGCCCATGTTTTTTGAAAAAATTGTGTTCAGACCCCTCCAGCTCACCTCACCTAAGTTCCAATGCATTTTCTTCTAAAATCTAGGTTTTACCCTCTCCCCTACACCTCTCTCCTCCTCCTTCGGTCCCCCTCTGCCCCCTCCCCACCTCCCTCCCCCGCTCCGCCGCCTCCCTCCCCACCTCCCTCCCCCAAGCGCCTCTAGCTCCCTCACTCGAATCCGACGCCCGGCGTTTCCCAATGCGCCTCGCCTCCCATCCCCCGGTTGCTCGCCTCGCGCTCCCTCCATAAAAGTGGGCAAACTATAGGGTTGAAAAGAGAAGAGAAGAGGGCGAGTGAAGAGCACCACGAGGTAATTTCAAACGCAAGAAACTCGCTGGTGGCGCGTTCATGGACGCAGCCCACGTGCCAATGAGGGAGGAGAATGATGTGCCAATGATTTTCGTTTTGAGCTCAATGTGTGAACTATAATAGCTAACATGAGCTAGCATGCACTGGCATGAGAAAAAAAAGGGTAAAATTAGGATTTTAGGTGGACCTACGTCAAATCATGAGCTGGCATGAACGGGAGGGGGCCTGAGCATAATTTTTTTTAAAAAAAGGGGCTGCAGTACATTGATGAAAGTAGGAGGGACTGGGGTACATTGGAACTTGGAATTTGGGGCCTTGAAGTAATTTTTCCTTCTTTTGATCGAGAAGTATGAACCATGGATTTTTTTTGAGAGGATTGAATACTTTTGAAAATGTGAAGCCTTGTCGTTCAAGTACTGGTTTTTATTCTTTGATAAAAAAAAAGTTTTCTTCATAAAAGAATATGAAAATTAATAATTAGAAATAAATCCAAATATATGTTTAAAAAAGGGGAAAACTTGATCCTCTCTTTATTAGTTAGAATAAAAATACTATTGTAGTATTTTTATGATATAAAATATTATATTATAATATAGTGTTTATATATTTAATATAATAATATATTAATTATATTATAATATAATTTATTATATAATAATTTATTATTTTCTAGTATACTTTATTATATTAATTAATAGTCTTAAATATATTAGTATATTACGATTATTATAAATATTATATTTTAATAAGAAGTCATGTCATCAATTATTGTATTTAAATTATAGTAATTATCATAAAGTAAAATAAAATATTATATTTTTAATAATAATATAATATTTTAAATAATATTATATTAACATTAAATATAATTATAATTAGTTATTAATTATAATATAGTATATTATAGTATAGTATAAAGTAAAATAATGTATTATATTTAATAACATACCAAATAATATACTAAACTAATTAGGCGAATTAATTTGAACTTAATTGATAAATAAATAATTACTTTAATAAGATGTTACATCATTAATTATCCCATATGAAGTATCAAATCAAAGCTTCAAATTGTCACATTATCCTAAACCGTCCCACTTTACACCACTCAAAATATTTCAAAAGGATAAAATTGTTCCATTTGAACAATTATCTCACTTAGCCCCCTACTTGTCCCAAACAATATCCCCTAAGGTAAAATGTGGAGTGCACCTTTAGTAAGGATAGATGTCAATAAATTTAATAATCGTCAATAGTTTTCTCTAATCTCATTAGCTAAGGTAGAATGTGGAGGGCACCTCTAATGAACATATATATCAATAAATTTAGTAATCGTTTTAGAAAACGTATAAATCAATGAATTTTTTATTTGGTGAAGCTGTTACAGGAAAAGTGACACCTTTTCATGTCAATTGAATGCAAAAACATGGACGATGAGTTTTTGTTTCTAGTATATATGTGTATCTGTTGATGCAACGCACCTAACCAAGCAAAACCTTAAAATGTTACTTTTTTATTACTATTTATCTAAATAATGGCCTCTTTTTTTTAATTACTTTAGCTCATTTCTGTCATATCTAAGAAGGTCAATCATACTACTAGAAAAAATTAAATATATCCTTGGTAAATTTGCACGGCATGGGATTTAATTTACTTGGTTGTTACATCTTGGTCTTATTTCAATCTTATTCTTAGTTGTTTCCTCTTTCTTTTTTTTTTATTACATTGTTTTGGCTCAAGTATACGAATTTTGTTGTTTACAATATACTTCTTGCTTGCCTTGGTTATTGCAAGACCGAAATTCCCTATACGTCTTTTGATAAATCTTGTAACATTCTAAGTTCAGGTATTATATACATATATATAGCGTAATTTTTTTTTTCTTTTTACTTTTTTTTTCATTGGTGTAGTTTAATATTGTTTAGGGGCGGTTATTAAGAAATTGTGCTGCTCAATGTTCATTTAAAATTGATCATGGTTTAGCCGATTGAGCGAGATAAGTGTCAAAGTCTACTAATTCGGATTTAGATCATGTAGTGTTTGCCTTATTTGGTACACGGGAATGAGTCAAGTGAGAATAGAATAGAATTGATGTAGAAATGGAATGCTCATTCCCATTCTCATATTTGGATGCAATTAAAAAATTAAGTAAGAATGTTTTAAGAATGATATATCCAAATTTTTGTTATTATATTTATCATCGCTTAAGTGGGAATAGCAATTCCTTAATAACTCATTAGGAATAACAATTCACACATTAAGTAAGAATTGATGAGAAGTGAGAATGACATTTCTAGCGTCCAAAAACACATCATGTTTGGTAAACATGAATAAAAAGCTAAAATTACACGCCATTCTCATTCATTCCCGCATACCAAATGAAGCGTTACAGTCTATCCCAATTCTAACAGTGAGATCACGCCTTTTGATATTGTAATGATCTAAAAAAAGGGGTAAAAACTCGGCAACAAACACTTAATTGCTAAAGCCATAAAAAAAAACATGTAAAATCAATGCAAGTCTATGTATGCCGAAGCTCCAGAGTTCAGATAAATTCTTTAGCTTGGGATCATTAAATTCCCCATCCAGATGAACTATTACACAAAAAGAAGACTATCAAAGTACAGCCTCAAATTAACGTTCTCTTTCAACAAACATCCGCCTGCTCTAAAAACCAAGTTGTAGCTTACAAACTACAGCATCAGTACTAATGCGACTTTACTTCTTCTTCTTCGATTTGCTTGAAAGAGACTGAGCATATGCAGTTCCCTGTCATAAAAGATAGAAACAAAGATTAAAGGTTAAAATAAAATTTAAAAAAAAAAAATCAAATTTAGGCTCTCGTTCATTCTCGGGATTCATTACTAGAATACCAGGCTTCACTAAATGTTCTCAATGAAAACAATTGGTTAATGGTTTTACCTCTAACCACTCATCCATATTAGCTTCTGTGGTCCTGGTGCCTACTTCCACCTTCGGGGCCCTCTTTGTTTTCTGGAAAGAGATCAGTGCAAATGTAAGAATCGTCGCGGTTATTTTTAACATTAACAACAAATGTAAGGATCTATGACCAGTGCAGTTAATTTTAAAGTTTTAACTTGTAAAAGCCGCAGGTCTGCCTTTTTACCAAGTAACACAACCTGTGATGTCGATAAACTATAAATATTTTTGGTTCAAGTGTTAGCATAGTAATTAGAATCTCAAAAAATGCTAGTAGCCGTATTATCCAGAACCATCAGATTTGACTCGCTGGAGATCGCATGGACTAATAGAACCTAAACCAATTGACCAAAGATCGCTGGTAATTCCCATGACAACTTGTATAAAGAAAAGGAAAGTGCTTAATTAACGTATCAAACATCAAGCTCAAACTTCAGAGTATAAGCTTGTCTAACTTCCTTAATTAACGTAGTCATTGAGCAAAGAGCAGAGAACCCCCAGACTAGTAGACTTCAATAGTCAACATCCTCATAAGATTTAACTCTATGCAAAGAACAGAGATCCCCTTATTATCATGCTGTCCCCGACGATAAAATTTCATTAGACAAAAAAAAAACAATCATAAACTTAGATCCTCAGGAATTAGTTTCCTATAGATGGAACGGTAACAGGGAACCAGAGGGCATGCAGGCACTTCATATACACTGGGTTGACAAGTTTTAACATGAACTCGAGTAAAAAACGAGTTTGGAGGAAAAAGAAACCATGCGGTTGACATTCAATCTAAAAGACTCAAACATGATTTTTTTTTTACATAACTCAGAAGCTTGAAAATATTTTTGTTGACCAAAACAATGTTTGCGGTTCATATCTGCATAAATATATCTCATTCTATGAATCATACTAATGAATATCTGAAGAATTACCTTCGACAACTGCTGTATCTGCCCATAGGCCCAGAGTCCAAGAAAGCCAAGAAGGGCAACACCAAGAGTCACAAGGAAAACTGATTCCATGCTGAGAAACCCTCCAGCCTCAACAACTTCAATGGTACCGTTATAAAAGACACTCTGATATGGATGCTGGTCTATCTCATAAATTACGGTACCAACTAAATCAAATGAGCCAGGCTGCAATTTGAACCAATTATTAAACTCTTGAAATTTATAAAGGTTGCAAGTTGCAGTAAACACGCAACTTTGCTAGTTTGATGACAATAGAGCTTTTGCTTATCTAATTTTTATATGCAAGTATGATTAATTTTAAATAAAAAGGTACCTGCAGATATTTGCTGACAGCAAAAATATAGGGGAATGTTGCTTGCGAAGATAATGACACTGTAGCATTGTAAAATTCCTGCATTGAAAATGAGGTTGCTTTCCTTTAAAAATGAGTGAAAAGTACCCAATACTAAGATGAAACTTTAACAGAGTCAGCAACACCAATATCAGGATATTATATTCCTTGAAATTAAAGAAAAAACTGAAATTTAACACAAGAAAATATAGCTAGCATGTGGAAGCACATACTCAATCTGTTCAGCAAAGAAAATCTTGCAATAACCTTCCCAATTCTAAATTTTAGCTGAAGATAATCAATATTATCAATTTGGTGCAAAATGTAATCAATACCTCATAAGCCTCTCATATGAAGTTGCCCTCCATGTCAACGCCATTTATTAAAGTAAAAAGCCTAGATTTTTTGTGATGATGATGCGAAATGTAAAATTATCAACTTCTAGGACTACACTTCCGCTAACTTTACCCTCATACTAATTATACACTGGGGCTTGTGTGCCACAACAAAGATACCCGACTCACATTCAGGTCCAAGAAATCCACAGTTAGAATCACTTCTTATTTAGAAAAAGAACTCTTAATGCTGTCTCCTACTTGATTTTTGAGAGACTTTTTTTAGCACCATTGGCAAAACAGTAAATTATCTGTAAAAAAATATCCTTTAAAGAAACAAAAGGTTTAGCAGAACGAACAGCAAATTATCCATTTAGTTGCAAACTAAGCCTTCTGAAACTATGTTAGGAATTTTTTTATTTTTGGTGCAATTGATTTAGAATTAGTAATTGTGAAAATGAAAAAAAGCAAAAGAATAATAGAATAACTAAAAGTAGAAAATGCAGTCTCACCTGCACAGTAAGGTTCTGAACCAACATGCGGTGATCAAAAGTAAAGTGAAGGCTCGCTTTGATAGCAAGGACATTTAAACTAGACTCTCCTGCATATATCAAACAGAGTGACAAGATAATCAAACAACGTGTAAAACAAACTGCGCTACAAAATAGTAATAAATAGAATATAGAATATCATAGTAACTGTCAACCAGAGCATGTTTCCGTGAAGCTCGTACCAGATCGGTATAATCTCATAGAAATTTCCAAATTGAAGAACCATAACGAATAGGAGAACAACTTAAAGAGTCAAAACAGGAGATAAATTTTAGACTTAACGAGGTTTAAAATTATAGTTGATTTAAATGCTTGGATTTTAGTTTGGGATTGTCAAATATATTTAACTTTAATCTCAAAATGATGTTGGGTAAATAATTAATTGTTGAGTGACATCTTTGACTTTGTTACGAGAAATTCAATTCCAAATATATACCTATGATTACTCTTTAATTCTTTTGAGATGACAGGTTCGGTTGCAAGAAAATTGAGAGTTACCAGTGAAAAATGAGATTCATTGGGATGATTGCCCAATGATAACAAGGGACCATGCAGGCATTAGGAGCCAAAATGCTTCTCAACCAGAAGACAATTACGCTCCTGTTTTGTTTGATCTCAAGCTCATTATCTCCCACGCAAACCTCATTCTACCAGTTAGGAAACATATGCCAAGATGAAAATGCAATATCTGTTGCAAGTGCCAGACAAGGATACCGAAATCGCTAGGCGGCAAAGGCATTGGATATGACGCCTAGAGACTAGGCGGGGGGCCTAGGTGTTATCCTCTGTTTTTAGTTTTTAATTACAATTTCTGATAGTCAATGCCAATGTCATGGAAAGCTTAGGCGCTAGACTGACCTAGGTAGATTTCTTAAGTGGTGGTGGAGAAGGTTTTGTTGAATGTTGGGAGAGGTAGAGGAGGTGTTCATAGTTGGAGGAGGTTGAAGGACGTGGAGGCTACAACAAAGGAAATCACGATTAATGCCCGAAAGGTGCAATCCATGTAGGCAAACCACCTAAGCGCTCCCAAAACCTAGGTAGGTAGATGGCCAAGGTACCGTCTAGGTTTAGGCGTTTGCCTAAGCGGGCTAGGCAGAGGCTTTCTAAAACGTTGGTGCTAGAAATGGACAAACGCACTTGATTGACCTTTATCAAACACACCAACACCATGTTCCGTTAAGAAAGGAGCCAGCATCATCTAATCTTTAAAGATCCATGCCTAGCTTAAATAACAGTGAAACGATTCTTTAACAAGTTCAAAGAATGATTAAAATAGCTAAAACATGCAACAGGGATCATAGAATAGGAGTAGCAATTTTGAGCCAACCAGTGAGCGATCCATAGTTAGCCGATTTTAATAAACTGTAATCAGGTGGATGTCACAAATGGATCAATCTAACATATCTAGAAAACCGGATAAATTCATGAGATGGGTTCAGTTTGTGTCTGTTGAAAGAAATCCCAAACACTTGATTTTTTATTGTAAGGCATTTACTCTATGTAGACCAACGTCAAAATGAAGTAGATCAACTTTAACAGAGTACATCCTTCACTGCCTCCCTCTGTCTACACACACAAGTAAACTAAGCTATGAAGGTTTTAGGAGTGGTAAGGCCCACCTACTTTGATGTGACAAGCAGTGGGCCTCAATGCTAGCCAACCTGCTTATTTTGCCAAATAAACTTCCACCTCCCTCCCTCCCTTGCGGGTGTGTTTTTGAGGGAGGATGGGAGTTGGCCTACTATCCACTTAAGTGGATATGAAACTTAGTCCAACCAATTTTTAATTGTTTGATGGGATTAATGTATTAAGATAATGAGTGATGAGTTGCCATCATTTAGGGAGAATAAACTAATAGAGTTGTCATCAAGTCTATTAAAAGGTCCGCTAAGTGCTTAAGTGGATATTATTCCCTCCATCCCTCCCTCACAACCTTTTTATCTCTTGTTAACTCACACATGCATAACACACGCCTGCCTGCAAGCACATATTACATCTACATGTACATACATACATGATACATGCACACATGTGTACACACATACATCTACATGTGTGCACATACGACGGTTGTATGTAGTCTAGGATATATTCGTCTCAGTAGCGTCCACGCTTTTTATTCTGCAGTGTATCTAAGCCCATAATCACGTCTCTGCTTGGATCTTCCTTACAGCCAATAACTGATAACTCCTGATTAGATCTGACTGCTTCTTGCTTCATGGAAAGCAGACAAACAATTATAACAAAAGGATAATGTTCTGATAACAACTTTTTGACTCAAGCCTCTATCTAATTAATACAACTCATTCATACAACAATAACCTATAATCCTATATAGAAATATATAAAAGTAGGCAAAAAGAAGCAAACTACAAAACCTAACAAGACAAATCTGAAATTCATTAAGAGTTTTTTAAGCATTTGCTTGTGCCAATCTGCATGTAAATGCATTTGTAGATCTACATGAATTGTCCATTTATCTTCTAGAATCTCTTCCGCTGCACTAGAACTTCAAATTTTGAGGTCTTGATGCAGGTTGACAGTTATAATTCTATATTCTAGCATGCCACGGGAGTTAAATGCCCTTTTCATGGACCAAGACTTAACCTCTTTTATACAGTGCAACCTTTACTTAAACAGTTATAAATGCATATCTAGTAGGACTTGAACTTTGGCTATTCTAGTAATGCCCTTTTCTTGGGCCAAAACTTGGCCTCTTTTATGCGGTGGTGCTTTTTTGTTAAAGCCATTACAAATGCATGTATTGTAGGACTTGAACCTAGGTTATTCTAGTACAATTTGAAGTCTCTTCCATTACACCAAACCTTTGAAGGTATCTAAACTAAAGGGTTTATTTTTATAACTTCATATTCTAATACAGGTCACAATTGACCTCACATTTCTTCAAAATTTGCTCAATGCAAAAGTGCTTATGAAAGGCATATCTCGCACAGTGGAAGCAGTTTCTTCGTTAGATATCAATTAAAAGAGATGAAAAATCAGTTAGCGATAGCACAATTTTGAAAGGAGCATCATGATCCTTCTCCACCACTTTTTAAATAAAGCTCAGATAACATACTTTTTTATCTAAATGGTAGAGCTACACCTTCAACGTTATATAATTTTCTTTCACAAGATACTATATTGTACCTCCTCAAATAGAGACTAAACAATGTCCAAAATATACTAAGCTACTAGAAATGAAGATTCAGATAAATAACTACAAAAAGCAACTAAAAATACAAGGAAGAAAAATAAGACTCATATTAGCAGCCTAGTCCTCGTCCTCTGGCTTTAAACATGCGCACTTCTTTTTGTATCACATCAGATCCAGGAGTTATTCCAAACCTATGTTACCGGGGTACTTCTATCATGAAGCCGTACCCGTACCCGACATGTACCCGACACTTATCCGTACCCAAACTTCATGGACACTCTTTGGATATATACATACATTTATTTAGACATGTGCTCAATTATATGCTATATGTTTTATTTTAAAACACTTGTCAAACACTTCTTGAATGTATATCTTACACTTCACAATGCTCGCAGACATTTTTTTGAAATTCGTTAGACATAGTTCAGGTTCATTTCAACCCATACCCAATTTCAACCCATACCCAAGTTCAAAACTGTGATTTTAAAGGGTCGTTTTGAGTGTCTAGTTCAAATCCGAGAAGCTTTCAAATTATAATAATCAATATTATAAAAGAAACTAAAAAATAGGAATTCTAAGTTTAGTAACACATGAATTGAAAAACAATAATAATCTCATGTAAATTATTAATCTCAATATACATATGTAGCCGTGTCCCCGCACCCTACATTTTACAATTTTGCCATGTCCCGTACCCATACTTGCACCCGTCTCGGTACCCGTACCCGTATTCATGTAACTTAGTTCCAAACATATGGGGCATCTCGAAAATAAATGTTACCAAGAGGGGCTTGGTGCAGTAGTAATGCTAAGTATATCCAATACTGGAACCCAGGTGGCTTGCCTCAAACTAAAGGGGCGAAATGTTGTGCTTATACAAGATCACTTGAATATCATGAGAAGGAAAGCAAGGCAACATACTGGCTAAAGGCTCAAGAAACAACGATATTGGAGGATATAAATGCAAAAAGAAACCCAATATAATTATCAGTATAGTAGTAAAAAATCAGATAAACAAAGTTTTGTCATTTGGACACAAGAAGACAACAAGCCTGACATGTTTCGTTGAGAATAAGCGCACACACAAAACAAAGGAACTTAGTATTGAGAAAAGTATAAAAGAAACTTAAGAAGATAATAATATAGAGAAAGTTCTACATAAATATTTCTACACAAAGCCACAACATTAATTGTTGTATTTTCTGCAAATAGATAAACACTAAGAATCATAACAAGGGTCAAAACACAAATCTTTACTGCACCTACCATAGGACTACTAAACCAGAGAAGAATATAGGAGTAACAAATATTGGGTTGGGCAAACCATAGCACTACTACACCAGAGAAGAAAATAAGAGTAACAAATCTTAGAGTTGGGCAAAGGTAAATGGGGCATCCAATATTATTTTAATAAGGTGAATTGATCATAATAAATTGCGAAACATCATTGAGAAAATTAAATGAAGCAAGAAAAGTACCCTCATTATGCATTCCAACAAGCAATTCAGTTTCCTCGCCTGCAGGAATCACTGCAGTGCAGAATAAAATTAGGTATATAGCATGACAGTCTCTACAAAAAAAGAACGAGAGAAAAGTAACATACGTCGTTTTGGGTTTTTGGGGAATACACATATAGTATTGACTCCAGAAGCTGAGGTAAGGACGGCATCACCAAAGTCTTGTGCCTCATCACCGACTATACCAAGTTCACCTCCATCTTCAGCAACCACCTCACTTGCATCCGCGTCACATCTAACAACTATCAAGAAAAATACCAGCAGATGCTTTCAAGATTTGGTGCATCAAATAACAGCTTAATGCAGAAACAGGTATATACTATTTAACTATTGTGCAAGAACAGCTCAAAAGTCCATGTATCTTGAAACATTAGTTCATCAGATGCCCAAAATCAACATTATGAAATGATATAAACATTGTCAAAGATAAATCTCTGAAAAATCTGATTAGAAACTCTGCTTTCAGACTTCAATTCTAGTATTTCTTGGTATGAAATCTAAATTTTTACAACTACAGCAGTATCAAGGAGATAGGCTATATCCACTTGCACAATAAATGCACTGTACTAGAAATACTGTTGTCCAAGCTAATAGATAAACCCCAAACAAAACAGCACACAGGAACTTATTGTGAGATGTTAACTTTGGATAGTTCTCCTATTGCTCACAACATTACAATATCCTAAAATCTACTAATTTGGATGCAAAGAAAAACTAATTGCATGGCATACCACCTGAAATCATTGCTGTCAAAACCTGGATTCAATTATAGTTACATGCCACACAGTATGTAATGAGTCGTGATACGAAATCGGGTATGCAATTTGCCACTTAGCTACGTATGAATTCAAGGGGGTAAGTTTCTTTGGTATGAAGGTTCAGATACACGGTACGATGTAATTTTTTTGGGTCCGCTTACCATTTTCCGAAGTGTATAGTAGAAAACTAGAAACCCAAAAGCCGATTATGCATTTCAAAATTTTTTGTTACCTTCACTTTCAAAATTTCTGAATACGTAAGATGTTGAAATATGTAAATACTGAATAGACTAAGACTAAGCATCTACATCTGTGTGCTTTCTTTTCTACTTCAATTTTTGAGTTTTTATAAGTTGTAAGTAGTAAAGTTTGCATACCAAAAGGAACCAGTACGCAAACATGCCGCAGTCGGGCCGTGTGACCGTACAACGGTTCGAGGAGGGTTCGGTGAATTTTGTAACTATGGCTCTGAACATAAAACTACAAAATGGCACTCGAACAAGTTCCATGAAAAGAATTAATCATCACAAATATTGTCTATTACCTTAGGAAACTTGTCTGATTCGTACCTCATCACTGAATATCATGTTCAAGTTCTCCTTATACTAGAGAAAGAGAAAGAGGAATTATTTCTTAAGTCAATGAAAATATCATCTAGCTTAGTTGACTAGTCTAACTAATGTTATTTGAATCATCTACTGCAGGGGTAGTCTAATGGAGAGATATTAATAGTTTCCACTGAAATGATGACTTGATTTTGGAAATTAATAAAATGTAGGATGCGGGGACATGGTATATAACACACACACATGATCAAATATTGAACAAAAATACCAAAAAACATGTGTATGTTTCTTTCTATTAGTATAGCTGAGAGTTTGTTCATGTTTGAAAGAAGTCTTCGCACTCAAATACCTAGAGGGTCCAACCCGAATATTCCTACTCATCTAATTTGCATAAAAGTCCTGTATCTACAGCAAACCAGAAGGGGAAAATCCCATTAGGACAAACATGGGCCTGTTTGGATTTGTAGGGGGTGAAGGGAAGTTAAGGGAAACTGAGAGAAAGGAAGGGAAGGGAGTTCCCTTCCCCTTGGTTACACCCCAATTTGGGGGTAACAAATTTTATAGTATTAGGGGGTGAACCAAGGGGAACTAGGGTGAATTAACTTCACCTCCTAGGTGTTCCCAAACAAGGTGAATGGAGGTGAATGGTTCCCCTAACTTCCCTTCACCCTCATTCTCCTCAATCCAAACAAGCCCATAGTGTTCAACCCAGACGAACATATATCTCTGGCTAATATTTAAGGTCACTGGTTCTCGTTGCAAGAGCTTTCTCGACAAATATTCACTATCGAGGCATGATGTAAAATGCAACATAAACTCTTCCCGCTACATTGCTTGCCATTCAAAGCATGTCCAGATTTCCCTCATAACGAACATACATTGCTCGTGTTCTACTGTTCTCAGAAACTTCAAAATCTACCCCGGATTCAATTGGCCACTTCCTTTAAACAGTTACCATATCTAGCCTTATTCAAACATATGCTACAGCTACCTAAACTCCATCCATATTTGCAAAATGAATGGAAACAACGGTCCTAAAAAGATGAGACCGAGGCATATATAACGATCTCAACGAAAAGTAACGTTCTTTGGGATCTGAGGTCCAATCAACCAAAATTCCCAGTTTTCAAGTTCGTTCATCGGCCAGAAAGCATCGCGCAAGATCACCACAATAGAGATCAATGAATTCAAGCAACTGAGCTGGTCCAAGAGTAGATCTTCTGGCAAACCCTAGAAGATCGAGCAAGGACAGATCCATTCGATCCAGCGGATCAAGACGAATCTGGATCTTATCACAAGTGAACAGACAGGAGAGATCGAAGTCCAATTAATTACCTTGGATGACGAGCGGAGACGCCAGGAGGAGGATCGCGAAGAGGACGGACAAAACCCTAATCCCCATGGCGAGCGCAGACAGAGAAGCTGGGGAGGCGTTGAAAACGAGACGCTTTGTGGATCTCAGAAGGAGACTCGAGGACAAGCCAAACCCAATAAATGACAGCGCGAGGAGAATAATGAGCCCCAGATTTTGCTGGCTAAAATAGCACTTTAGTACCTCCTAGTTTCACTCAGTTTGCAAAATAGAGCTTTTAGTCATAATTTATAGAGATTTTTAAGTACCAATAGTTTTTTTAAAGGGAAAAATGCTTCCAGCCCCCAAATTCGTAACAAATATACTTCCCCCTCCCAAGACTTTTTCAACGCTCTAAAAACCCCCAAATTCGTAATAACTGTGCTCTGAGCCCCCAAAACACAAAGCCCAAGAATTTTACACAGGTAAAGACTATAATACCCATTCTCTCTCTCTAATATTATATTCGTAATAACCATACAATCCCTCCTCTCTCCCTCCTCCTTCCCCCACCATTTTTGCCCTAGCCCCCTCCGTCCCTTCTGCAACCCTCGTGGCGGCCGAAGCTCCTCTCCGGTCTCACGCCTCGACCCCTCGCCTCCGCTCGCCGAGATCCTCCGTGTCCACCGCCGATCCCAGCGCGGCCTCCGCTCGACCCCTCGCCTCTGTTCCCAACCCAATCCCTCCTCCCCCAGACGCCACATCAAACCCCCCTCTCCATCCCTCAGGTCCATCATCCCCCACCATCTATAGTGCTGTCGTTCTTGGAAATTATTGTACTTTATGTCTTTTCATACAACTTGTGCATGTGTGTTAAATATTTCATTCATCTTTTTCTGCAGGGAAATTTATCGTGGTTGTTAAAGTTATACGCGTTGCTTATTAAGGTTACGTGTTGGTTGTTAAGGTTATACGCGTTGCTTGTTAAGGTTACGTGTTGGTTGTTAAGGTTATACGCGTTACTTGTTAAGGTTATATGCGTTGGTTGTTAAGGTTTCGGGTTGCTTGTTAAGTATGCGGGTTGCTTGTTAAAGTTACGCGTTGGTTGTTAAAATTAACCGTAACCTTAACAAGTAATCCGTAACCTTAACAACCAACGTGTAACCTTAACAAGCAACCCAAACCTTAACAACCAACGCGTATAACTTTAACAACCAACGCGTGACCATAACAACCAACGTATAACCTTAACAAGCAACCTGTAACCTTAACAACCAACACGTAAATTGTTTGGCTTTTGAAAATTCGTAACATTAACAACCAACGCGTAACCTTAACAAGCAACCCGAAACCTTAACAACCAACGCGTATAACTTTAACAACCAACACGTAACCTTAACAACCAACGTGTAACCTTAACAAGCAACCCAAACCTTAACAACCAACGCGTATAACTTTAACAACCAACACGTAACCTTAACAACCAACGTGTAACCTTAACAAACAACTCAAAACCTTAACAACCAACGCGTATAACTTTAACAACCAACACGTAACCTTAACAACCAACGTGTAACCTTAACAAACAACCTGTAACTTTAACAACCAACACATAAATCGTTTGGCTTTTGAAAATTTCATTAAAATTAAAAGTGAAATATTATTACAAAATCTAGCTCACTCCCACTACCTAAAACAAATGTATGCATCATCGTCTTCTTCCTCTACCCTGTCAACGGTCTCAAAACCATGGCAGTCCACCTCCTCAGTGAGTGTTGAGTGGTAAAATGAAAGTAATCATACATTGCACAGTTTTATGTGGTGCTGTAAGCATGAATTTTCTGAAGAAAAGTATAGAATTGTTACTGCTTTTTATTTTATGAAGTTATGAATTATTATAGTAGAAGTACAAAAAATTAAAGCTTTTTTTCTATTTCCTTCCTTTTTTTTATTTTTATGAAGGTTTTACGAGTTGCTTGTAAAGGTTACGGGTTTGCTTGTTAAGGTTACACGTTGGTTGTGAATGTTACGCGTTGATTGTTAAGGTTACGGGTTGGTTGTTAAGGTTACGGGTTGGTTGTTAAGCTTAATCTTCACAATCAACGCGTAACCTTAACAAGCAAACCGTAACCTTAACAAGCAACACGTAACCTTAACAAGCAACCCGTAATCTTAACAACCCGTAACCTTAACAACCGTAACCTTATCTGCAAATAGAAAAGATAACTATCATTGGGTACATGTATATTAAACGTGAAGAAAGAAAATACCGTTGATGCAAGAGAGAAGAGGCATTCTTTTTCGAACAGGAAAACTTATTTTGAAGGGGGAAAATAAAAAAAGAAAAAGATCCCAAAAAGAAAACATGTGACAGGAAGAAACTCTGTTGCTAGTAAATCTAGATGCATTAGTTTCAGAAGCTACAAAGCAACATCAAGTTCGCACGTGTCATTACGAGATCAATTCAATCATTAGTCATCTCTCTGCTCCTCTTCGCTAGGTTGCGCTCCAGCTTGTGTGCATTCTGGTGTCCTCCAAGAGCTTGGGTGCTGTAAAAAAGTCCGTCTGCAATAGTTACACGAGAAAACTCGTGCGTGCTCGGGACGAGGCCCAGGCTGCAGGGACAGGTTAAGGTTGAGGTTCTGAGCTTCATGAAATATTCTCGGCGAGCAAAGGCCAAGGGGTCGAGTTGCAGAAGGGACGGAGGGGGCTAGGGCAAAAATGGTGGGGGAAGGAGGAGGGAGAGAGGAGGGATTGTATGGTTATTACGAATATAATATTAGAGAGAGAGAGAATGGGTATTATAGTCTTTACCTGTGTAAAATTCTTGGGCTTTGTGTTTTGGGGGCTCAGAGCACAGTTATTACGAATTTGGGGGTTTTTAGAGCGTTGAAAAAGTCTTGGGAGGGGGAAGCATATTTGTTACGAATTTGGGGGCTGGAAGCATTTTTCCCTTTTTTAAATTCGCTATTAACCGACCAAAATTATATTTTTAATCTTTTTAACTCATCTTAATTCTACATTAAATTACGGTTCGGATCTGTTTAGCAATAAATAGTGATGATGAGAAATATCCACAGTTAGCTTATAAGTATTCTAGAGAAACATTCAAATAAAATTTCATGTTTGCAGGATAGGAAGCGCGAAGCATGTCAGTTTCAAAACAACAAAGGGTACATAAATTCTGTAAAAACAAGTGGGGTTGTATAGCTGCTAAGTGTGTGTGAAAGTATGAGGTATTAAAGTGCTATTTTGCCTAAAAAGTTAAGAAACGCTGTTGGCGGCTGACCCTTATAATTGATCCGTGCACGGTTATGGCTGGATCAATCGGTGATGGTACGAACAATTGGACGGTTGTGATTAAAAAGGTATTGATCATTTTTGGGTTTGCTTAGAGTGGGGGAGAAAAAAATCTAAATCCGATTAAACAAAATATTTTAGTATACAAATGTTTGCATGATAAAGAAAATGAGAAGAGGCGAAAACTGTCAAATAAAAAGTTCACGTAGATAGATTTTAAAAGTTTTTTATAGGCTAAATACCCATATTGGTATTTTAATTCAACCTCATTTGCCAAGAAGGTATTTTAAATAAAAAAAAATCGGCGTTAAGGTATTTTAATTGATTAAAATTACCAATTAGGTCCTTTTTCTCGTCGGCGACCACTTTTCCGGCGAGAACTCGTCACGTGCATTTTAATTCAACCGGTTTTCTGACGTGGCAGTGGCAGGAAGAATAAGAGTCGATGCATTTTAAAATCCCCCATTTCTAAAATTGGTAAAAAAAAATTAGCGAAAAATTAGTGGAGAAATTACCGTATAAATAGAACATCTTTCTCTTGCATCGATCCATGGCCGCGCCGGCGGCAATCTAGTATGCAGTGATCTTCGTCTTCTCACTCTCTTCTCTCCGAATTCCCATGGCGTTTTCTTCTAGAAGTTCCTGGAATCGGGGGTTTTGGCTGCTTCTGTTAGCGGTAAAGGTAAGATAATTGAGTTGGATCTGAGATCTGGAGTGAATGCGTGAAAGTTTGGTCTTTGTTTTGAAATTTTTAGGGTTCAGGTTGGTTCGTTTTGGACTTAAATTGTGATTAAGCCACATCAGCAGCTAAAACCGAGCTACATCATCAGCTAAAACACAGATTAAGTCATCACGTGTCACGCACGTGACGAGTTCTCGCCGGAAAAGTGGTCGCCGACGAGAAAAATGACCTAATTGATAATTTTAATCAATTAAAATGCCTTAACGCTGCTTTTTTTATTTAAAATACATTCTTGGCAAATGGGGTTGAATTAAAATACCAATATGGGTATTTAGCCGATTTTTATATGATTAGATCATACAAGGTCAATGTTCACCAATTCCTTTGGGCTTGTTTGGATTTGGAGGGGGTGAAGGGAAGTTAGGGGAACCTAGAGGAAGTTAAGTTAAGGGAAGGGAAGGGAAGAGAATTTCTAAAACTTGTTTGGGAAACAAGTAAGGTGAATCAAGGGGAAGTTATTTCACCCCGTTTGGAAAGTGTAATAACGGGAAGGAAAGGGAAGGGAATGTATATAAATTAACATAAATATCCTCACATATTATTAAGTTATATTGTTGTTAAAAATTAAATATCAAATATGCATCTATTGCTATATATTATCATTGTCATCATCTCCTTCCACATTGTACATCCAAAATCAATACAAATCAGATAAATATAAAAAATTTTGGAGTATAGTTGGAATAAAAAATAATAAACAATATATTCATCGATGAGACTATAAAACAATACAAAGCTTATTTTCACTCTTCTTTTGCAAATATACCCAGTTAGCAGAGCAACGACCAACTAAATGATGAAACTCAAATACCTACACGAACACAAAACTACTAACACTTGTCATTCAAGCTGCAAAAATCCCCAATTTTGAACGGTCTTTTACAAATTTTATTGCTCCATCAAATAAGCTCAGTTTGGATGATACAAGATAAATTCATCAACAAAAACTAAAAAAACAAATTGCGTTTATTAATACTATCCAGCATCAACCTCATTAACCAACATCCCCGTAAAAAATGTTCCAATGAAGCATTACAGAGAAATAAAATAAAACCTTTTTTCCACAAAGTAGCTATTTATGCTCATATTCTCTCCACAGTTGACATAAGACCCCTTCAAAGAAGGGAGGAAGAACAAAAG